ATCAACAAGCTTCAAGAGCAAAACCAAGAATGGAAGTTTAGCTCCTCATTTGGAGGCTAAACATAGCTAGAAAAATATAAAGAAATGCTATTCTAAACTGAGCTAAAGAGATTGGAAGAGGGGATGATTTTTAGAGAAGAAAAAGAGTGCTATTTATAGGTGTTTTCAACACCTTTGGCCGGGTACCCGACTGGGTCAAGTACTCACCCGACCGGGTCCGGTCAAAATCAGATAATCCGCCACGTTCTGGTGATCTTCGCACGTCGTTTTGTCCCGGGTCACATCTGACCCGACCGGGTCAAGTAGGGGACCCGACCGGGTCCAGTGACTTTCTTGGCAATTTCGTCTGTTAAATCCTACCCGACCGGGTGGGGGTTTCTACCCGGTCGGGTTTCACTCCTGGGCAGTCAAATTTCTTGTTTTCTTCTCTTCAAAGTCTTCCTTTCCAACACCACAAATCCTAACTATACTTTACAACTTATAAATGAGAATTAAAATACGATTACAACTAAAATCACACAAATGTTTACAAACTAAATAAAATGGTAAACAATACACACAAATCAATCATAAAAATATACATTTATGCACTACTAATTAGTGCATATCATGTTCGTCGGAATAGCTTGCGGCTGCGCCAAGGTGGTGGGCGCCACGGTGGTGATCGGCGTAGGAGTTGATACGGTCGACATGAGAGATGCTAGGGTTTTAGAGACCTAGTGCTCTGATACCATGTGAGGAAATAATGGCGTGCCCTATTGGGAGCCCTAGCATCATATTTATATAAAATAAATAAGAGTGTTTACATACAAGGCCCTATAATATTCTATTATAATGATGTCAATATAAGTTGCGGATCAGAGGAATAAACATACTTGATTTGTGAAGCTTGATTTTTTATGCTAAACTTTGGTATCTTCCTTACAAAACTCGATTTCCATTGCTAAACACGATTTTCTTCATTGGCTTAGATACGAAGTGAAGAACATATTTGGAAGCCGTTGATTCTCTGGATTCTTTCTAATAACAAACTCTCAAAGTTAGTATGCCACGTGTAACTTTAAAAGTTGATTCGGAAATGTTGTCGTTCTTAAGTTACGTGCCGTGAAATTGTTTCCAATTATGTTAGCCGCTATGTCACTTTTTTGACTTTTCTTAATTGGACTCGCTTTTGTGGAATTGGGCCTCCTAAAAGTAATATTGGCTCTTTTCCCTTGTCGTTTTTAATCATCTCTACTTTTGATTGTTTACAAAAAAATTATCCTTTGCATTTGATCAATTAGCTACGGAATAGCAATTTGATTACTTCTAGTATTTACTACGAAGTATTTAGCTAAACGACCATTGAACATAGTACTCTTTGGAAATATGGACTACATAGGCTCGCGGTTGCTCTGCCTGCGGCTTGCTCCCTTGACGGCCTGCTACGCTCACGGCCTGGCCTGCTCCGCACTGGCGCCGCTTGCTGACAGCGTTGCTCGCTTACAGTGCCATCTTTGCCGCTCTCTGACAGCGCCGCCTGCGCCGCTCAATGACCGAGTCGCTCGCCAACATCGCTCACAAAGACGATGCGACTTCAATTCAACCCTAACAATGGCTTTGGTCCTCTGATAGACTATCGGCAGTGGGGCATTTGGCATATATAGGCTCTTTCGATAATCGTCGAATGGCAATATTGCGCCGGGCCAAGAAGATCAATGGCTAGCAAGGAGATCGATGTTTCCGGGCCAAGAAAATGGCAGTATTGGTCCGCTGATAGACTATCGGCAGTGGGGTATCTGGCATATATAGGCTCTTTCGATAATCGTCGAATGACAGTATTGCGTCGGGCCAAGAACTTCGAATGGCTAGCAAGGAGATCGATGTTGCCGGGCCAAGAAATTGCGCTTGATGAAGAAGAGTTTTAGGGTCGGCAGTATTCAATGAAAGAGTATGGTTAAGGTGTAAATTCAGTTGACGAGAGAGGAGTTGAAGTGTTAGAAAATGATATGCAAAGCCCGGTCCAATTGGAAGATTATGTAAGTGTCACTATGCAATACTAACGTATTTATGTTAGAAAATAGTGACACTTTTGTGTTACTAATGTCATTTTATCAAAAAGTGTCACTAAAATAGTGTCACTGTAAGTCAGTTTTCTACTCGTGTTGACAAGGGTTTTTAATCAAATATTTTCTCCTGATTTGATTAGGACGGTACTCAAGAATTTTTCTTCTTTTTGCGGGATCTGAGGGAAGCTCATCCAAATCAACTTGTTTAGGTATTGATGAATAACATTGAGATGCAATATTTGAAGCATTATTATTTGAACTACCCGGTGAAGGGACGGTAGCCCAATATCTCTTCATTGAGTCTGGAAAAGAAGTTAAATTAAAATCAACTGTTTACATTAATACATTTTATTTAACTACCTAAAATAATATATAATTTACATTTAGGTGGTTCCTTTAACTACTCTTCATTGGATTTTTCGATACTACTTTTGTAAGTGGTTCCTAATACTCCACTGAATAAGTGTGATGCTCATTGAAAGTGTTTTAATACTCATAATAAGTTTGATGCACATTAAAAGTTCATTAATGCTCATTTAACAGAAACTGTGATTTTTATCTCAACAGAGAAGGTTTGATGCTCATTGAAAATGTCGTTATGTCAAACTGACAAACTTTACGATTTTCATATCAATTAACATTTTGTAAGTTACGTATGCTCATTTTGTATTGATGATATGCTCATTTTAAAATGTCATATCAATGCATATTTCAAAAGTATCATATTACACTAAATTCACATATTGAAATTCATAATAGTGTATTATAGATATAATTTAATAAGTTTTTATAAAAGAAAAAATAAGAAAAAGAACAAAAATTAGAAGATATGAAGTTGAGATCGTGTTACTCATTGTTAGCCTCGTAATAATCAATAAAATAGGTTGGATGCTCACTAAACGTACAATATTGCTCATTTAGCGGAATCCGTGAATTTTCGCTTAAATTACAAATATGCCACCGAATTTTTTTTTGCCTGTATTAGTGGTTGGGCCGTCTTTCTTACTTGGGCCGGGTGTATGTACACCCGGATGCACTATATACGAACTCAAACATGGGAGGTTCACTAATTAATTAACCCAATATTTGAAGTATCTTAGTTAAAGGTTTTTGGCATCAAGACTAAAGATTTCCGTTCGATATGAAATAATTCTTAATTATTGATTTATGATAAAATTAAATCTTAAGTACTACGTATAGATTAGAAATTAATAAAGAATTAATTGTACCAATGACATTAAGGATATTTTTTGTGTGCAATTGAAAGATAAAATGTTACTCATGAAATTAGTTGGTCCTAAACCTAATTTAAGGTGTCCCTGATATGGAAATTATTGGATTTTAAAATTACAATGAGTGTCAGTAATCCTATATAATATCTAGAATTCCATCAAAATCGATCATGATATCCCAGACTGAGAGAATATTATACAACAATAGCAACATCCATGCATTAACTCCAAAAGATTAAAAAAAATGCAGGTTTTTATGAATTCTCTTAAATGGTGATAGAATCAAAACACATATCATATGTTCTTATCAAAATCTAATGACTTATATATATGGTCAGGATTCTTATAGATTTCATGAAGTTTTACTGGAATATGATAGAATCAAAAGATTTCCATGAAAATTCAGACTCAATCAATCCTAAAATATTCAAATTCTATATTCGAGATACCCATAATTAGTTTTCCGATAAATAGAAAACATTTCTAACCCAAAGAAAATGGAGTAACAAATAAAGTGAGAAGAAAAATTAAGAATGGAAAAGAAAAGGTTAAAGGTAGAAACTGTTTGACATTATTTATGTTGGAAAAATGTGTTAAAAATTGCATTAAATGGCCAATTTGGGACAATATTTTAAGTGGGGTCCACTTCTGATTTGGGTCGGTTCAAAGTGGTTTCGGATTGTCCTTGCTAAGGGCTACAATTCGATATATGGTACACTCAAAACCAACAACGGGTGAATGAGAAATTGATTCTCGAAGTTCACTCGTTGAAATGGAAAAAACTGGGAAAATGATGGGTTTCTAGTGAGATTTATCCCACACCGGAAAACCCAACGGATTTTCACCCCTTATAAAAGGAACCCTCTTTGAAGCAATTAAGACTCTTGGGTGGAAAGACTCTCTTCACGTGATTTGCGTGCGTGGGCGACTTGCGAACACGAATTTTGTCCGAAAATCTATCATTCAAAAATACAATTTAATTTTTGTTTCTTCCTTGTAATGTTTTATTTTTTCCAGAACCAGAAGACCATGTGGTATTCTGGTGTCTTTCTAACAGAAAGACTCAAGGTATTCTGGATCGTTACAGGAATAAATGCCCAATGTTCTTATCTTTTGATGCAGCGTTACATGGACAGTTCATGGACGATTCAATGCCCAACAGATTAGTATTGATGTCCAACGTTCAGGTCTATTAACTCTCCATTAACACACAACAAATTCTCCTACAAATAGTGCTTTGCAACAACACATGCAATCATACACTATCTGCACGTATTTTTGAGCTCTAAAACACCTCCAGCTTTCCAAAAATTTCTTGAGTGTTCTACCTTGATTTCCGTTCGCCGGAACTTTCGTTTGTGTGCTCTAACGATCGTTCGTTAGCCACCGTATTCTGGGAAACGGTTGTTGCAACGCTCCTAGCACCGTGAGAGGCGGCGAATATGTTTTTAGGAATCGTGCGTTGCACGAGCTCTGGCTAATTTATGTTCCATCTATTTTCGATTTTTCTTTGGCTATTTTATTTATTAATTAATTTTATTTAAATATTTTTTCGTTTTTCCGAGACACACCCAACAATTTATTCTCCGAGGTGGAATGAAAATCCACTTGTTCTCTTTTGGTGTGTGGGTGGGTGGGTGGGGTAGGGGATATATATCCTCCCACTGATTAAGGTAATTAACCCACTTCAGTTCTTTATATGCTGCCGTCCATAAACGTGTTCACGGTGAATAAAACAGAAACAGGTAGAAAAGACATACAAATGGATTCAAGGGCGGTGCTTTTCTGTACTGTTTTAATATTAATTTTAAGTCTGGTCGTCGACGCTGCTGTAACGGTCAGGGTATTCAACGTCCTCTCTTATGGTGCAAAACCAGATGGAAAGACTGACAATAGTCAGGTGAGTCTAAATATCCAATACCAAAAGTTATACTTTTTGAGTATATGTAAATATTTATAAATATATATGTTTAAACTTTATGGAGTTCAATACTTGGTTTCTGGCGCAGAATGTGTTTTTAAGGTCATTCTGCAATATATTATTACTTCAATTCGCATTACTTTTCCAGAACACAATTTGGATCATACTTTCTGGTTTGTTAGAACTTAAATACATCCCAAAGAACATCAGCAGTGGGAATTTTTTACTCGAGTATATGAAGCTATGTTCACGAGTATATATTCTGTTTATGAAGAATGGTATGGTACCAACATTCTGCAGAGATGTTTTTTTGCATCTTGTTTAGTTGGAATTCTTGAAAAAATGAATAAATAATTGGTTTTTAGTGACTTTAATTTGTTCATATTCACTTCTTTTTACATATTCATATATAAACATTAAACTTACTATAAAAAAATTACGGGATTGACACGGATTTGGCACGGATCGACCGATGATTTCGTGCCAAATAGCACAAACCAAAATGTTTTTGGCACGAATTTAGCATATCTTCCTATTTTTCGGAAATGTTTTGTAGTGACTAATAATTAAATAGCTAAAGTTTCAAAAAGCTTTCCATCATTTCAATTTCTCTCTTTATTGGAAGCTTTCCATAGAATGAATGACTATATAATCATAGAAGGTAAGTGTTGTACTAAAGAGTACTCCGTATATAACGACTAGAGTTAATCACTTTGGATTATTTACTTTCCATCTATCATAAGATCCATAACGTTTAAGTTGGATATGGAGAGGTCAAAGGTGTATTAATATCCTTCACTTTTCATTGCGGAAAGTGAATGCAATGAAGCGGAACGACGGAAAAGTTGAAAAAATCCAGTTTGACCAAGCTTTTCTAGAGCAAAAATATGTTTTGGGCTATTTCATGGGATAATTTTACTTTGCATCATGCTTTTTAGGTGATATTGAACCTTACACCTCATTTTCAAAACTTTTAGACTTTGCACCCTATTTCCTCTAAAATGTCTTTGCCTTTGCACCTCATTCAAGAATTTTTTTTCACAAAATGTTGTATGATAGGGTGCAAAGTCTAAAAGTTTTGAAAATGAGGTGCAAAGTCCAATATCACCCAAAAAAAGGGTGCAAAGTAAAAATATCCCTTATTTCATGATGATCCGAGGGTCCTAGACTATTAAATTGGTTTCTATGTTTTCCCTTAAATGAATTAGGTTCTATCAATTCGGAAGACATTTAGAACTTGTTTGGGATAGCGCGGGAATTTATATTAGATCATTTCAGCAAGTCATATTATTGATTACGTACTATCGATTATAATTATAAACATTTATTGATCACTACAAAAAATAACGGGATTTGCACGGATTTGGCACGGGTTCACTGATGATTTCATGTCAAATAGATCGTGCCAAAATGTTCTTGACACGGATTTGGCATGTCTTTGCTAAAATCTCTATCGATTTTAAACAATCTTTAATTTGTCAAAAATCCATGTCAATCTGGTGTTTTTGTTAGATGTTTATTGGTTTAGACATGGTTCATTTGGGAGGAATAAAAGAACCATCTCTAAGTTCAGGATTATACGAACAGCTGAAAGGGAAAAACATTATCATGTGGGGAGGTGGATCAGAATTTGATCATAATCTGAGAATCACAATAGATCCAAGCACACAACTTTTCTAAAATAAGGTTATCATAGATTCCTCTCATTAGTGAGCATGATAAGGATGTTTTTACTTTTTGACTATAATTTGTTGGTTTGGTCTAGTCTATTTAGGTCAGTCCGATCTGTTTAAGTCCTGTCTCGTATAGTCTGAACTGGTTTGGTTTGGTCTGGTAAACGTCTGGTCTCTGTGTATTTTATAACTACGGAAGTCAAGTCTGGTCTGGTCTGATCTGTTTAAGTCTGGTCTGGTCTGATTTGTTTGAGCCTGATCTGATCTGGTCTGAAACTGAAAACAGTCCAAGTAAAAGCATCATAAATCCTCATTAAAATTATTATCCACTTCGTCCCAAGATTATGACCATTTCTCTAAATTGAAGTATACTAACTTTTCTTGGACCTATCTTGTAATTTCATTACTTTTTGGAGATCACAATTGTAATACAATGACTAGGTTTCGTTTTTCTTTTTACCCCAAGGAGTATGAGGTGACCAAGACTGAAACTCCCTACATAGAATTTCGAACCCGAAATCTTTCATATGAGAGAGGAAAATCGGTGATCAACTGAGCTGGATTGCTTTCTCACCACTTTGAATTTGTTTGGCTATAGGCGATTGAGTGGAAATATTGGCCTAATCCGCTACAATTTGTAGCGGTTTTAGTGCAATTCTTGTTGGGGTTTTGGCTGAAACACCAAAGCCAAACATAGCCTTTGTTCTCTATTTTCTTAAACTTCTTGTGAAACTCAAATGTATCTTGAGACACTGGAGTAGTAATTTAATTCGTAGTATTAGAGCTCCACAAAATGTCGATAAGTTTAAGAATTAATCAAAACTGGATCACTCAAACCAAAACGGATAAACCTATGATATCATATATAGGTGGTTCACAATATAGTTTGAGATTTATAAGTATAGAAATTGTCCCGTATAGGACTAAACAACTTTTAAAATTCTTAATTAGGACTTAGTATGTTTATTTCCCTAAGTAGGACTTTATTAATCCTATACTAAAACTTACGTATTTTACCCGTACAGAATTGCCCCTGCGTTTAATATACCGGACTCATTGTGCGTACCGGACTCATAGGGAATCTAGTTTCAAAAGTCAACCACCTCATTTACTCAACCCCGTTCTGCCATCTGGAAAGTGCAACATGGATTCCGAGAACCGAAGCGTAAAAAACTCGATCTTATAAGTAAGAAACAAATTAAACCAAACCAATTAAAACCGACCAAAAAATGAAAGAAACCCCATTCGATTATCCACGTAACATTATTTCTCCAGAAAAAGTGAACCGTAAAAATCATCAAATTTTCTCAATCACGAAAGCGAACAGTAATTTTATAATCTCTATATTTGACGTTTACAGTTTTTATATCTTGAAGGCATTTTTGAGTGCTTGGGATGATGCATGTAACTGGAAGGGTAAAGCAACCGTATGGGTCCCACAAGGGACATACATGGTTCGAGCCGTTAAATTTATTGGATGGTGCGAGGGTCCCGTGACCTTCAAAATCCAAGGCCTGCTTAAGGCTCCAACGGACCCTTCGTTGTTCATGGGGGACACGTGGCTCGACTTCCGTTACATTAAAGGCTTGGTGCTGGAAGGGGGAGGGACTTTGGACGGCCAGGGGGCATGTGCTTGGCCCTACGATGATTGTAGCAAAAATCCCCACTGCCCTAAACTTCCCGCTGTAAGTTTCTCATCACTAAATATCTTAAGGAATTTTATCAATTAAGATAAATAACGGTAACAGTCAACTTTTCATATTTTCCGAGGCTAAAAGGTCAAATATGTACATGAACTAACTTAAAGTGTTCAATTAGCCCCTTATATAGGAGGTTCTGCTCGGCCGTCGCCAATTAGGGAAGTTCCCAGTTGAATTTTTTGATGAAATTTTTTGAACATCTTCTTCATTAAGTCTAGTTTAGTCATACCAAATTTCAGCTAAAAATTCAACCGGGAAGGCGGTCAAATGATTTTTTGAAGATAACTGCGCAGTAAAACAGCGCAGTACATTTCGGAAAATCATTTTACTGTCTTCCCGATTTAATTTTTAGCTGAAATTTGATATGGGTAAACTACACTTAATGAAGAAGATGCTCAAAAAATTTCATCAAAATATTTTACCGGGAACCGCCCCAATTGGCGACGGTCGGGCAGAACCTCCTATATAAGGGGCTAATTGAATACTTTAAATTAGTTCATGTACCTATTTGACCTTTTAGCCTTTCCGATTATAACTTATGTCACTTGACCATTAATATATAGGGGAAAATAATTTAAATATCTCATACTTTGAAATGGTTGTAGGTAAGCACCTCAAACTTACATATGTAATATACACTACAAAAAAATTACGGGATTGGTGCGGAATTTGGCACGGACTTACCGATTTTCGTGCCAAATAGCTCATGCCAAAGTGTTTTTGGCACGAATTTGGCATTTCCCTTCCAAAATCCCTGCCAAATCCCTGTCAATCCCGTGGTTTTTTGTAGTGATATTTACCCCAAACTTTACATAAAAAGTTATGTTAGCACAATTAATATGTATTTTTTTATTCGAAAATGTAAACTTATGATGTTAAGCACATGACTATAAATACTTAAACATTTATAGTGGTCTAGTTAAATCATCATAAATTTACATTGTGTAAGAAAAAAACATATGTTCATGGTATTAATATTACTTTTTATATAAAGTTCGGGATATAAATATTACATATGAAAATTTGAGGTGCCTAGATCGCATCTGTTCAAAGTTTGGAGTATTTAAATTATTTTTCCCTAATCAGATTTTGATTTTCAATGAGAGAAACTTAACAATGTTTTAAAAAAAATATTTGTTAATTGATTAATAAATAAAGCGTAATCAAAATAGAATAGTAAATAATGTAAATTTTAACGACACTAATGTATCATTTAGGGCTAAATACTTGATAGAATATACGAAGTATGTAACATCGATATGCAAAACATACAAATGTAATTTTAACTTTGATTAACACTAATAAAATAGACTAATTCAATCGGTCGAATTTTTTGATGAAATTTTTTGAACATCTTCTTCATTAAGTCTAGTTTAGTCATACCAAATTTCAGCTAAAAATTCAACCAGGAAGGCAATCAAATGATTTTTTGAAGATAACTGCGCAGTTAAACAGCGCAGTATATTTCGGAAAATCATTTGATTACCTTCCCGATTTAATTTTTAGCTGAAATTTGATATGAGTAAACTAGACTTAATGAAGAAGATGCTAAAAAAATGATACTGACAAGATCAGATATGAGTAAACTAGGCTTAATTAAAAGATCAGATAGAATGAGACAAGATCAAATCATACTGACTAGATCAAATTATAAGAAGTACAAAGTATATAAAATAGACCTTTAACGGATCCGATCATATATAAAAATTGCCATCTAAGTGAGCCAAAATATTTTAGGATATAGTCTTATGGCCATTAAGTAATTTTACAAGTTGAAAGATTTGTAATAGAGTTTCTTTTAAAACCTAATGTTATTTTTCTTTCGACACAAGGTAACGAATTTCTTGTATAACAATTTCACGTAAAAAAATAATTTCAACAAGCTTGAAATCGAGCATCCAGACGCTCAAGTATTTTGGTAAGTTAGGTTTTAATAATTAAACTCATTGTTTCTTTCAAAAATAAAAAATAAACTCATTGTCGTGTTCATATTTTGGTTAAACTTCTGTTTCCTGTTCACATTGTTAATGCAAATTATATATTTAAAATTCATTTGAATCCATTCATCTATAGAAAATTTAGAACTTAGAGGCCGGGTACCATATATTCAATCAATTTCATTTTGTATTTTTTTAATATATGGAGTTTAGAATGTACACTGGAATGAAATATTAACAAGTTCAGCACACTGCACACCATAACCATTAGTTTACAAACTAGTATTATCTTATTTTAAGGAAACTTATAAAAGACTTTCGTTCATTTGAATGAAATTAATTGATAGGTTGGAGATTATCAGCTAGTGAGATAATGAGATTTTGTTTATATGTTACATACTTACATATTTAAGAGTTCTCTACCACAAACCATCTCCCAACCAACTTAAGTTAAGGGAAATTACCCAAAATAGGAGCAAATGACACTTGGAATTCCAAAAATAGGACTAGTATGTTTTTCTTCCCCAAATAGGAGTTATTACTGTCATGTATGAAAAATACTGTCATGATTGAAAAATATTGTCATCATTTATAATAAATACTGTCATGTTAACTGCACTGTACTGCAACTATTTGGCAGTCGCGGCTACAAGATGACAGTAAATACTGTCATGTTAGTCTCATTTCGGGAATAAAAACAAAGTAGTCTTATTTTGGAATTTCAAACTACATTTACTCCTATTTTGCGAAATCTCCCTTAAGTTAATTGGAACGTTACGTTACGACTTGACCGGATTGACAGTTACTATGACTCTGAGTCATTAGCAGCTCACATATTGCATTCAAATAACCATCTCAACCCTAACCTAGAAGTTGGAATCGCCCACCCTGAATGTCTCATACCCCAACCCGATAGAATAATGAAGGTGTTGAATTTTGACGATGGAAACTTGTGAAGAAATTAACTGCTATATAAAGATCTTGATTATTTCTCTTGCAAGTTGACCTTTTAGGTTGAAACCTTGAGTTTTAATATGGTATCAGAGTCAAATCCATGGTGTGGGTCTTCTTAAGAAAAAATGATGACACAATTATAAAAAATAATAACGAGTCGATAAAAAAATGAATGACGAGATAAATAGAGATTAGACTCATAACTTAAGCATCGAGAGGTGAAGTAGAGTGGATTAATCAATAATAAAATTTGATAGGCGATCGATCACTTGTTGCAATTAATTAAACTGTCAGCTTTTCATTTAATTTATTATCTTGAAGAATTAAATTCTCAGCTATAGAAAAGAGAAAACGAATTGGATGTCGGAAGATTGACCAGTGTGAAACGGAACAGACAAATTGAACAGTCCAAAAAAATGTTTTGTCCCTCGTAAACTATTGTGGAGTAAATTAACGTTGAAATTCTCAGATCCTAATTAGCCTTTTTTTCTTCTACGGAGTATGTAACATGCCAATACGGCACTTAATGCGGGATTGCAAGTTAATGTATGGCTCGTGTAGTTTTACGTTTTTACTCACTATTTTAGTGAAAGTAAGAAATAAATTTCTAAAACCTAGAAAAGTTTACTGTTTATGTATTAACATATACGCGGATGAATACTACGGAGTACGGAATACACGAGAGTATAATTTGTGTTAGGGATGACAAAGGTCACCCATACGATTGAAATCCGCGTCAAATGTCCCGATTAAAATAGGAAAAACCGCATTGATCGGGTAACAGATACAGGGCAGGGAAAATTCATATTGTTTTTATGGGTAACGAGGCATTACCCACCATATTATATTTTTATCGATTTTGCCCCACAAGTATTAAAAGTTGATATATTTCTATTTTCATTGTGTATACTAGTATATAGATATTACATGTACAAACTATAGTGTATGAATGAAGCTTATAATATATTTTAATAGCCTTGTTTGATTATTATAAGATTTTTTTGTGATTAATTATTTTTCATATGAAGTATTTTTAGGTTCAAATTAATGTATGTTATCTTCTTTCTCATCTCGTAGATATAGAAACTTCAAAGTGGCGTCTGGCGTCTAAAGTCATCTAGCCGATGCCATTTTTTGCTTTTTAAAATATTATTTTTATATTGAAATATCAATGATTGATTTAATAAAGCGGTTACCCAAGGTTATACCCGTTACCCGTTGGGCAGTTATGGTTTGAGTAAAAATTTCCCGATGGGTAATGGGGCGGTTACGAGGCAGGGAAATTACCTAATGGGGCGGGTACGGTTATGTAAAACCGTCCCCAATCCACCCTGTTGTCATCCCTAATTTAGTTACATTATATTATAGCACCGTGTTTGGTAACACTGGGATTATATTGACTGAAATGGTTGATTCTGCTGAAATTAGTGAAGTTCTGACTGAAATGGCTAGATTGACTAATCCTGTTGATTTATTAATAATTATATTTAAAATATGTTTTATTAATAAAATAAAGAAAAAAAATATGAAAGATCCCTAAAATGATCTTCTATTGTAACTTCAATCAATTTAGCTAGAAAACTAAGACAAACTTGCCCATTCAAAAGTTGCGTGTTTGATTGAAAAAGTTGACTTATAAGGCTGATGACGGTTTTAAAAGTAATCTATTATTTCATCATTGGTTATATTCATTTATAATCTAATGAACGTAAATGCATACTTGAAAGTAGGGGTGTGCACCGATTCAAAACCGGACCAAACCGAACTGGAACCGGAACCGGATTTGCCATGATATGAAAACCGGAAACCGGTTTCCTTAATTTTCATAACCGAAAACCGGACCGCATATCATTCCGGTTTGATCCGGTTCCGGTTTTTCCGGTCCGGTTCAGTCCGATTTTCCGGTTTAAACCGTATAGTGCACACCCCTACTTGAAAGGAGTTATATGAGATACTGCCTCTATATCTTAAAGTAACTTCTTATGTTCTCTTTTTTCATGTACGGATTAAGAACGGTTGGTTGGTGAATATTTCTGCTCTGTTATGTTATTTGTACAGACGGTGGGGTTCCAATTCGTGAGCAACGCCATGGTGCAGAATATCCATTCAATCGATAGTAAGAACATCCATTTCGACGTCTTTGCTTGCAATGACATGGTGTTTAATGGCGTGACCCTAACCGCCCCGGGCGATAGCCCGAACACCGATGGCATCCACATTGGGTTATCAAAAAACATCCGCATCTCTCGGTCGGTCATCGGCACCGGGGACGATTGCATATCCATGGTCTCGGGCTGCCAGAACATTAGTGTCGACAATGTGTCATGCGGTCCGGGTCACGGTATTAGTATTGGAAGTCTAGGGAAATCCAAAAATGAATTTGTGAGTGATATACATATCAAGAATTGTAGCTTTTCGGATACCCAAAATGGAGTAAGGATCAAGACTTGGGCGCCCTCATATCTGAGTAAAGTCAGCAATGTTATTTTCGAGGATGTTGTGATGACAAATGTCAATAATCCTATATTCATTGACCAGCAATATTGTCCTGTTCCTCCTTGTAGCCCTCAGGTATGCATGTTACCTAAGCTATTCATGGTTTATTTGGTTTAAAAAACTACATCCCATTCAATTGTTAGTAATGCAAATGTTATACTAGTAGTTTATTTGTTTGACCTTTTAAATCAAAATAATTAAATTTGACCGATTTAATTGATTTCATGTATTTTTTTTTTATTTTGAAAACTGTATAATTTTTATGATTATTGAATTTAAGTGATGCGGAAACGGAACATTTTTCGGAAAAAAGAAGTGAAACAAGTAATTATAAAGAGGGGAGTTCTACGGTGCACCCGTTAATTTGATTATACCGTACACAGACCAATAATATTGTAGCACATGGAAATAATTAAAATATATACTTTTAATGTCCATGTGGCATTATTTTATTTGCCTACGTAAAGAAATGTACCGTACATGCGAAATTTAGATATGCACCATAGAATTTTCCTTATAAGAATGGAGTATTATGTCAAGTATATGCATTAAGAGAACTTTATATTTCATATTTTCACCTGTCTTATTGCGACATTGTGAGAATGTGGGACTTCCCTATTTTATTTCCTAAGTTTGTGATCTAGTTCTAGGGTGTTTTATTTTATTTATGTCTCAAATTAGATTTTACCAAAGGAGATCATATTTAAATAGACTAAACAATAGTACGGAGTACGGAGTATTAAACAATAGTACAATAAACATATACTAGAATTTTAAAAAGAATCATTTACAATCAAACGGGTTAAATCAAATCAGACTAGACCGGAATATTTTGACGCGGGCAAAAACGTCCTCATATCCATATACTTCATGAGCATTTTTCTATTTTTACCTAATTAAAAACTTATTAGTAGAATGAAATGAACTTCACCATTGTTTTTCATGCATGGTAGAGCACATCATCGGTTGAAATAAGGAACGTGACGTTCAAAAAAATAAGGGGGACATCGAGTTCAAGGGCAGCGGTCACTTTGAATTGCAGTCCAACGCACCCCTGCCAAGATGTCAAACTTGTAGACATCAATTTGGTCTACAATGGTCGTGATGGGTCCGCCACTTCCTTCTGTTCCAATGTTCACGGAGATGCCGTTGGCAAACAACTCCCTCCGGGTTGTCTTCGCTGATCCGTTAGCTTCATTACTGTGTACCCTCCTAGCTAGCTAGTTCTTTTTTCTTCCTATTTTAGTCATCCTTAGCTTATTATATATAGAGATAGAGATGGCCTAATACGTACATTGCTATCATTATATTGCTCCAATTTGATGAGAGAGTACTTATTATCTACGGAGTATTGAGCTAATATTTCTGGGCCCCAACTTTCTGGGCCACAACTTTCTGGGCCAGAACTGTTTGCTTTGCAGGATTTGCAATTGCCAGCTTAACACACTGCACTGTAACTCTAATGTCCAAGTATCCTCTGGTCTGCTTACAAATTTAAAATTTAAAAATAAACACATCCAGAAGCGAAAAGAGCAGGCTTAAATACTATACTACTATAAGTCATACTCCCTCCGTCCCAAAATGAACTTCACAGTCACTATTCACATGGTCAACTTAAATTACTCTTAATCTTATGTTTTATATATCAAATTTTTATCAAATTTAAATTTTTTTAACAGCCTTTGTAGCGGTTTTAATGTAGTTTCTCAATATGTAAATTTTATTTACTAAAAGTAATCTGAGTATGAACAAGGATCAAGTTGCTTTATCGTCGGTCAAGCATCATAATCCGAAACGGGAAGTTAATTTGGGGACGGAGGTAGTATAAGCCTCCAAGAAGTACAAGAAACCCACTCACTAGCATCTGACATGTCCCATTGCATAATAATAACATTACGGACTACCGAACAGCACTTAAAGCCATTAAATACTTACAGGAAAAAACAAGCAATACTAAACTAAGTTGTGGTATTTACACTGTGGACTAGCTAACGATGTTCTCAATGTGATCCTCTAATGAGCAAAGAAGACATTACAAAAGTTTGGTTGTAGCATAGGCTTCGTTTGTTAACAGGGCAATATTTTCCTGAAAAATGTTTCGCGGACTTTCCTGTGTTTGGCAGCAGAAAGCATATTTATTGAGGAGAATATTTTTTACATCTCTTTGAACAGTTTTCAACGTCCACACGGGACTGGTTTGTTATTTTCTATTATTGTGCATCAAATATTATACTACCTCCATCCCGCTAAATCTGGTACATTAGGAGAAGGTGCAATGGTTGATATTGAATTGATAAAGTAAGAATAATGCAAGAATGATTTAGAATCACACAAACATTACCGAACTTGGTATTGGACAATCTTAGACGGTTTGCAAATGCTTAAGAGAGGGTTTTTAAAAGGAAACTTCTACTTTAATTTAAGAAACTTTAGGCCAAAAGTTAAATGCAGCCAAGGAGGTTCTTTTGAATCTTCTTTCTGCTTCTTGGTATTTTGTAAATAATAGGAACTCTAAGGATAATTGTAAAGGCTAAACGGTGGAATTTTTTGATGAAATTTTTTGAGCATCTTCTTCGTTAAGTCTAGTTTACCCATACCAAATTCCAGCTAAAAATTCAACCGGGAAGGCAGCCAAATAATTTTTTTGAAGATAACTGTGCAGTTAAACAGCGCAGTACATTTCGAAAAATCATTTGACTGTCTTCCCGATTTAATTTTTAGCTGAAATTTAGTATGGGTAAACTAGACTTAATGAAGAACATGCTCAAAAAATTTCATCACAAAATTCCACCGAGAACTGCCCCAATTGGAGACGGTCGGGCAAAACATGATCAAATGTATCTACTAAACCTAAAATACCCCTCCCTTTACGTAAGTCTCCAACCTCTTTGTGCTTACCTTGCCGCAATCCGCAACCTACTTCGCCATTTTAAACCAACGGGCAACAGCCACTCTCTTCCTCTTTCAATACACACACACACACACAAAATGTAGTTATCTTTCAAAAAATCATTTGATGACCTTCCAGATTGAATTTTTTGCTCAAATTTGGTATGGATGAACTAGACTTCATGAAAAATATACACAAAAAATTCAGCAATCAATACCACCAGGAACAACCTCAAATTGAGATGGCCGGACCACCCTCCTGTACGGTCTGGTCGGACAGGAATATTTGTGTGTGTATATATATATTTATATATTTATATATTCATATGAAACGGGATTCCTGACCTCTAAGCCGGCAGATTTGTTGGCATCTCTGCATATCAACAATGTTGATCATCGGGAAGAAGATGAAGAAAACCCGTGAGAGCATAAACAACAGGTTAGTATACGAGAGAATAATTTTGGAGAAAAAATGGCTTACCCTACTGGGTGCCGTGGTCATGTATTTATAATAAAACAGGGTTAAGAGCGTTTACACAGAAGTCCCTAGACTATTACATTATAATCTGGAACTTTATTAAAAAGTTTATTATGACTAGTGAAGTGAGAGCTATCTGAACACCCTGCTCAATCACATCAGAATAGGCTACAAGCCTACAATGACTGAGATGTGCTTATCGGACCGCAACCAGAGTCCATGAGTGGAAGTACCCTGCAAATGCCTGTAAATTCTTTTGACAGCCAACAAATGTGAGGTGTGTGGAGCATGCATAATCCGAGATACCAGATGAACAACATATGTAATGTCTGGTCTAGTAATAGTCAAGTACTGTAAAGCATATACCGTACTACGATACTCAGTAACATCGGTTAAGAGTTCCCCATCTGTGAGAGAGAGTGTAGTGCAAGAAGGTAATGGGGTACGAACAGGCTTAACAGTATGGAGATGAAAATGACGCAATAAATCAGATATATATTTGGCATGCGAAAGTAAGAGCCCCTTTGGCGTGCGTTGTGCCTGAATCCCCAAAAAATAATGAATATCCCCCAAATCTTTCATAGCAAAGTGAAGGGACAAAGTATGAATGATGGACTTGACAAAGGAAATAGATGACCCTGTAATTAATATATCATCAACATATAACAGAATGTACACAACCTGTGAGGAAGATCGATATATGAACATGGATGAGTAAGATTTACTCTGAGTAAAACCACGACTGAGTAAAAAACCATTAAACCTATGAAACCATGCACGAGGGGCTTGTTTAAGACCATAAAGTGTCTTACGTAGTCGACAAACATGGTTAGGAAAGGATGGATGAACAAATCTCTGAGGTTGACGCATGTAGACCTCCTCAGTAAGATAATCATGTAAGAATGCATTTTTCACATCAAGTTGACGAACAGACCATCCTAATGACACCGCAACAGATAAAACAAGACGAACAGTGGTGGGTTTAACAACGGGACTAAAAGTTTCAGTAAAATCAATTCCAGTTTATAATCTGGAACTTTATTAAAGTCCAGATCAAAATTATAATCTGGAACTTTATTAAAAAGTTTTTCATAAGGTGTAAGTTTGTCCAAAATAGGTGTAGGTAAGCGGTTTATAATGAAAGTAGCAGTATAAAGAAAGAGCATACACCCAAAAAATCCCAGAAATAGAAGAATCTATCAACATAGTCCTACTTAATTCAAGTAGATGCTTATGTTTGCGTTCTGCGACACCATTTTGAGCCAGAGTGTCAGGACAAGACTTTCTAAATAAAATTCCAGATTTTAAAAAATGATGATGAAAAGTGGAATTATCAAACTCACCACCCCCATCACTTTGAAAAATTTTAATTTTATAACTAAAAAGATTTTTCAACAAGAGTTTGAAAATTGACAAAATGAGTGAAAACTTCAGATTTTCTACGCATAGGATAAATTCAAGTATAACGAGAAAAATCATCAATAAACGAAACATAATACTTGTAACCAAGATTAGATAAAATAGGCGATTGCCAAACATCCGAATGAATAATTTGCAAAGGAACATTAGAGTCATGAACAACATCTGTAAAAGGTAGTCTGTGGGATTTCCCCACGACCATCACGACGACGGACATTAACATCACTCAGGTTTCCGCTGCACAGTCCACATCGCAGGTTTTTACTCCCTTTAGCAGCGACTTCATTCCTCCGTTGCACCCCACCTACGCGATGGCCACTCCGTCAGGGTCTCCACGGATACCTCTTGCCTCAATTGGAATGCCCCTAAATTCCAACAGTCTCTTTCACATGGCGGCACCATCATTATTTCCTGCTCATGCCGCCAACTTGGATTTCTTGGGGCACTCATCTGCTCATGGCATCGGCCGAACCATGGAATTTGCTGGACCCACCTTTTCGGGCCAGTCGGGAGTATTGCCGATGCAGCCTGCTTCTCCATCTCCACTGCCAGGTTTTTCATCACCTCCCACTTTTTTATCATCCCTTTCATCACAATTAGCATTCTCAACCCCGAATGTTACTAATATTGTCACTACTCGTTTATCGGCGGTTGAAGATTATCTACCATGGCATACCCAGTTTGAATCTTTTTTGGTTTCTCATAGTCTTCTTGGGATACTAGATGAGTCCATTCTGGTTCCGCCACCTACTGTTTGTGATATGGCTAGGCGTGAAACACCTAATCCCGATTATCATCATTGGCTCAAAATTGATCAAACAGTTAGGTCTTGGTTATTTGCTACATTGTCTAGGGACGTTTTGATGGAGGTGCATGATCTTAAATTTTCTCATTTAATTTGCGAGCGTCTTCAAAACCGTTTTCAGTCTGCCTATTTAGCACGATCCATGGAACTTAAAAGAATGCTCTCACATGTGAAAAAGAAAGAGTCACGAACTATGGATCAATATTTATTAGACATTAAGATCATGGCAGATAACCTGACACCTATTAATTCTCCTGTTAGTAATAAAGACCTGATTGAATACGTTGTTCTTGGACTTGGTCGTGAATATGAGTCCCTCATCACGGCTATTTCTTATTTTCCGGGGAATGCCACATTGGACACATTGCGTCCGATTTTACAAGCTCAGGAGCAACGGAATCCTTATTTACAGACTCATGTATGTACTTATGAATCTTTTTTAATAAAGATTAGCCGCAAAGCACTACACTATGAAAAAATCGCCCTGCTACACTAGCGAAAAAAGTTTCACTCCACTACACTAGCGAAAAAATTCACCCACTACACTAACGAAAAAAATTTCGCCCCCTTGACTCGAAATCCTGGATCCGTTCCTGCTAAGCCCCCAAAGCCTTCCCCTACGAAAACCTTAATAATGATTTAATTTATATATATTAATTAGGACTAGTTTGGGAGTTGATTTTTTGAGGACTTTGGTTAGGAAGGCTTTAGAGATCTTATTATAGATTGAAACATATTTCAGATATTATAAAGATTGGAAGAAAATTTCTGTAGACTAAGCTCTACAAATCTTTCCGCTCCATCAAAAGACCGTTAGAGTTTGTTTGGAAGTTGGATTTTGGGGGGAGGGGAAGGCATGTGAGGGTTGATGGTCTTCCTTTTTGGGTTTGGATGTTTAAAAAATTGGAAGGAAATGCTTTGGAGGTGTTTTGTAATCCTTGTAAACCCTCCAAAAACTGATACTTTTAGTTCCTCCAAATTGGGGGTTTTAAAGGTTAAGCAATTGAATGTCTATATTACCTCTTCTTCCTAAAGAATTCAATCACCAAGGGGATTAGAGCCCAGGTCGCCTGCATGACTGCATTATGCTACACATAGAATACCAGGTCAGCTACTCGTGAGTGTTACTTTGTTTCTTTTGTAGTTCTATTATACCTTATTGTTTTAACATATTTAGGCTAGAATTAATTTTATGAAAGATTGCTGAAGTTATTTTTATTGCTGAAATTATATTACACTAATAAACTATTTATGAAAGATTCATAACATCTATTAATATTATTTATAATTTTATATATAAATATTATGTTCATGTATTGTCCATCTAATTCTAAATACATTTTGAATTTTGTTAAAAAACTTTACAACTTTACATTTTGGCACATTAAGTTTTTATTTATTCTTATAATAATTTTTAAATTTTGAATGAGTGTAATTTTTAGCCATATAACTTTAATCTAATATATAATTAAATATAGTTCACATTTTATGTTTCAGTAAACATTGACCGGGTTGACCCGCCATGTTAGGGTTGACCCGTGACCGAGTCACTTGACCGGATCGCTTTCCGGTCCGGTTCTTCTGACAAGGTTTGAGATGGAAGTATAAATTTTTACAATTAACTTACACATTTGTACTTTTTTGTAAAAGACTTTGAAATGTGAAATTTAAGAAGTTTAAAACTGTCAATATAGGACCTAATATTTCATAGATTTAGATTTATTTATTTCTTTATTAAATCCAATGCTAATTTTTGACGTTTTTTTCTTCACAAAATTTTATTAGTTTAATAAAATTAAATAATATTTAAATTTGTTAAAATAAAAAATAAAAAGTAGTAAAATTCATGAAAACTTAGGTCCTGGATTGATATATAGTTTTTAATCATTCGGGTTTTATACCGACACATTTTATCTTTCAGCTCCTGGATTGATAAACATCTATCTTTTAGGTCCTGATAAAATCTCTAAATTTAATTACAACCTCCCATAGCCTTCCTCTTTCAAATTTGTAACTTTCAAACACAAGAAAGGAATACATTCCCATCTCCCTTCCCTTCTCTCTACTCCCCCTCAAAGCCCTCCCCTCCCCTTTCCCTCAAACTCCCAAACATACCCTCAGTATTCAAAGATGTTTTTAGTGCAACATGTTCAACACGGTCATAATTATTCATTTTCATGATTTCCTCATTATTCCTCTGACACAAAGAACTGCATAACAATTAAAAAATTAAAATGCAATGGAAGTTGGAACAAAAAACAAATGGAGAAAATCCCAACCTGTCCTCCTTTACCATAGACAGTGAGAGGGTGTCCAAACAGCAGTCTGAACACAGAAACGATTCAAGGCAGTCCCAAAAACTCCGTCATAATCGAATCGGTTAACCAGTTCCTCATGCATTCCAGTCTCATTTGTTCTAACCCCATACACAATTCCCTGGTTTAAATCAGTGGCTCTTATACCCCATGCCTTGCAAGCGAATGCGATATTATGGGAATCATGGACCTTACTCAAATGATGAAAAGGAGCTTGCTTGTTTGGGATATGGAAGAGTATCGGTTCTTCCATTGTGTGTGATTGTTATGTAACCCTCTTCAATGTCTATGTTTGGGGTACCATATTCGCCCATTGTCCCGAGTTTCACCAGATGACACTCTTCACTGAACTCCTTTATGGCAAACAGGACATTAAGCGTACCGATCACGTTATTATGTTGAGTGAAAACAACTCTCGACCTGTCAATCATTGAATAAGGAGCGGACCTTTGTTCCCCAAAATGGACAATGGCATCTGGTTCAAAAGATTTGACTGCTTCTGCCAAGAACTCAAAATCACAAATGTCACCAATAAAGAGTTGGATGTTGATCTTTTCCAGTGAGTGATTTCCAATGGCTAATTCGATTGTGGATGGATGAAATCGGGGTGAGAGAGTTAAGCCCAAGCCGGTTGTCAAAAAGTTGACGAACCAGGTTGTCTACAATACAAACCTCGTAGTTTTTGTTGGATATATAGGTGGAGAGCGGTGGCCCATCCACAATAGCCATCACCACCAATAACCATGACTTTTCTTCTATTAGTGGTTACGTTAACTCCGGAAGCCATATCAATTTTTCTTTCTTGACCAACCGAAACAGCCTTGGCATTGATGGTGTTTCTTTTCGACCATTTCATTCTTGAGATGAGCTCTTTTGGTGAGTCCAAAGTTTTCAGCTGAAAGGATTTGTTAGGGATAATAACCCTGCTTTTCTTTGATAGCCTGTGGTGAATTGTAGGGCTTAAATAAGTATTCAAACAAGAGGTAGAGAGCAGACTAGCCATCGCAACAGCTGATTAACCAATAACCAGGTTACTCCTCAGACTCACGAACTGCATAAAAGGCGACACAGTCATCGTCAATGTAACCATTTAAGTTTCAGAAACGCAAAACATACTTCTACGATGGTAAAAGAAAACTGTTTTGCATCGAATACAAAAAACCCAAATTGAAGAAGAAACACAGTTCACGATCAAACTCCGGAACCAGAACCATGAAATTGAAGCTTAAACTAGGAAAGTAAGCTTTGGGAGCTCAACTTTGAAAGACGGAGGAGCCATAAATTTATCTTCATAATCGCAGTAACATCACAAGTCCAAAAGGAGAGAAGCAGGATAATCTGGGCACCGGACACGCGCCTAGCCAAGATTAATCTGGGTTACGCGTGATTGAATTTAATTAAGCATGCAGTATTAGGAAAATCGGGCTACGAATGATTTTAGAACAATGCTAAACATCACACTAATTACCACAGTAATAGGAGTAGAGTATAACAAAGAAGGAGATAGATATGAAAGAAAAGAAGAAAATTGCAGCTGTGAAAGTAATAAGTAGAAAATCGGGCTAGAGCTTGAGTATCAAAATGCTAACCCTTACAATGACATTAAACCTTCTATTTATACTAATAGAGAGCATGGGCTGCTCTATGCTGATTGGCTGTTGTTTCACCGACTTGATCACCCATGTTTCCACTTGCTGATGTCACAATCTGACATTAATTGCAGCTGGCCACTTGCTGGTTGCCCGTTGCTCAAACGGGATGCTGGATCATGCGGAAGACACTGGCGAATTGGCCCAAGTATGATATATGACCCGATCTTCGTTCGGTATTTCTGCTTTCTGGGCCGGCCTCTTCTTGGACCGAACCTCGTTCGGTATGGATTCTTCATTGGGCCTACTCATCATAGGGTAGTGGACTCGTTGTTTGGGCTGGATATCCTGGCCCATTTTAATCCGGGTATTGGGCCTCCGGGTCAATATCCCAACAACTAGCAAACTCGGCTCCCCCATCACCTGTCCTATGTTCTAGAGTCTTGACATAAACAAAATTAAAAGCTAACAAAAATACTCAATGTCTAAAGTAAAAACCAACAATGAGAAAAATCATTTTAAAAGCAAAAATAACTGCAATCTGCCAGAAGCACGCGATCTTCATTAGATGATCTGAAAACATGATAACAATATTCATTAAATGTGAACACAGTCATAGTAAAAATTTCATACATTACACTTTTATTATTCTTCAATTCATTATGCACAACTGCAAGAATAACAACAATATATTCTCATTGTCCCAATTCGTTTTACAAAATTTGTTTACGAGATTGTTTGAACATAAAGATAATCCTTCTCAAAGGTAGGATTAATGTAACAATAGTATATATACATAGTACTCCCAATATGTAGATAATCCTTCTCAATTCTTGCAGTTTTCAGATTACTTTATTTATTCTTATAGTATCATTATATTGAGAAAGTGCCACATGAAATAGCAGGATTAAGAGAAGAGAAGAGAGAGAGAGAGAGAATGCGCTCATTGACTTATGAGTTAGGACTCCTATGAGCCTTTATGTTATAAATGATTCATAACTTTTTCCAAAATGTTGAATCTCTAACCTCAAGGGCTACCACGCTCCGACCTGACATAACACACGATGGGTTGTAAATCATGGTGACTCGGCCAGGGGCAGAATCGGAACAAAATTTGAGGGGGGTTAAAAGAAATTCAAACCGTCAGGTTGGAAAGATCACTAACCTCTATCATTTTTAAGTATATTTATAGTAATATGATCTCAAACCCAATGCAGAAGAGTTATTCTCATTTTCATGAAGTGACACTTTATCTGGACCTATATATAATTCACACACAAGCGCACGCATACTATACATATCAACTTAAATATAGACATTTATTCATTTTTGTACTTGTTTAGTTAGTGTCTAAACAAAATAATAGACCCCGTTTGTCAAGCGACTTTATTTCGATTTAATACGATTGTCCTTTTTTAAAAAAAAATATCAAGTTTTAAATAGACATATATATAGCTAAACAAGTAGAGGAAGATAAATTAATAAACTATATATATTACCCGAAATAGGACTAAAACAGTTTGAAAATTCCAAAATAGGGTTGTCATGTTTTTATTCCCAAAATAGGACTAATTACTGCAATGTTTTGGCAGTACCAGACTTCAAACATGGTAGTATTTTCTAAACATGGCAGTAATTAGTCCTATTTTGGGAATAAAAAACATGACAGTTCTATTTTGGATTTTTGAAATCGTTTTAGTCCTATTTCGGAAATTTTCCCATATATATATATATATATATATATATATATATATATATATATATATATATATATATATATATATATATATATATATATATATATATATATATATATATATATATATATATATATATATATATATATATATATATATATATATATATATATATATGGGTGTGTATATATAGGTATATATATAGGTTTTGGTTCAAATAAGAATATGATCTTAGGAGAAAATGAGAATGAATCTCGACCGTTGGATTTGCTTTAAGTGAAATTCAATGTGCATTAGATGAAATTGTAATGTGCATTAGGTGAAATTGAAATATGCAGCACAAATGGTACGACATAGTGTCATTATGTGAAGCTAAATTGTTCATTAGGTGAATTTGAAATATGCACTAGGTGAAACTCAAATGTACAGAATAAAAAGTACGATGTGATGTTATTTTTGTAACTTTTATTCCGCGCATTTCAGTTTCACGTAATGCACACTTAAGTTTAATTTTTTATTCTGCACATTTCAATATCATCTGATGCACATTTCAATATCATCTGATGCACATTTCAGTTTCACCAGATGCACAATCCAGTTCCACATAATACAATCCAACGGTCCAACAGATTCGTTCTCATTTCTCTCCTGAGAGTCCATTCTTACCGGAACCCTTCCCTATATATATATATATATATATATATATATATATATATATATATATATATATATATATATATATATATATATATATATATATATATATATATATATATATATCTTTGCTTATATAATAAGAGCCAAAAATGGTTAGCCCGGTCTTTTTTCCGTTTACGCATTTAACGAAACCAGTTAAACTTAACGGGGGAGGCGACGGATCTTCAACTTGCGCGTCCTTTCCGTCCGGAGTCAATAAACACCAGTCCAAGTTCGAAGGGCTGCTCAAGAGGAGTAAGTTCTTCCTCCTCTATCATTTTGAATTGCTAAAAACTCTCTGTACATCTGGGATTTTCCTCTCCTCCCCTCTTGAAATTTCATGCTTCTTTTAGTGCAGTACTTTAAAATACTCAAATCTCCCAAACAAACATACGTTTGGGCCAGAACAAATACTAATCATATCACTGAATTGATCTAATACTTACAGGGTACTGGTTTTTTCATTTGTTCAAACGCCGCTCCTGATGGGATAATTTTGGAGGATATTTAGTGTCTCTCTTTATGGTATTCCAATTATTCTTACCTAGCGCCTACATATTGTTCGGTAAAATGCTTCTTCATGTAGTTCATAACATTATTTAATATTTATCATCCTGTCATTAAAAATGAAAATAAATTCATTGTGAAACGGCAACATAGCTTCACACACATAATTATTATACCAAGTTTAATCTCATGTAATTTGATAACTTCGTATTCACAACCTTATAGTTCGTTATAATCCTCATTTATCTCAATACCATCTCTTTCAACACCTGATTTTCTTTATAATTAGCCCTACATAAAATCAAAACAATTGACCTTGTAGCATACCTTCTTAACACTAATTATATTAATTCCCACTCACTTTGAGAAGTACAGGCCGCATGTGTAGTTGCTATATATGGTTTACTCGAGGAAACTGCAAAGCAAAGTGCTTGTCTGTAAAAAAGTGAACCAAGTCAATACTTTTACTTACAAAGTCTAATTTTATCATGTTTAGGAATTAGGGCCATATCAAAGGCCTTGCATAATAAGGAAAACACTTTGAACACTGTAATTTTTTAGGAATACATTACTTGTAATTCTTGAGGAACACATTAGTTGGAACGGAAACACATATGACATTATACATGAAAGACAGAAAAATACACTACATAAATTTACTTGTATGTATAGAACTAAGACCATCACAATTTATGGTGGAGACTGGAGGGTGTTCTTAAATGCTCAATGTCTAAAAGTCTCCAAAAGAAGGATATTTTTAATATGATATTCACATTCTCAAAATCAAGAAGTTTTTGCATTTCTCTCAAAGTTGATAGAAGTAGAGGGTGTTTTCCATTATTGTAAACTTCTTAACACATTGTTTCATTTATTTTTCTTAAAGGTAAAATTTTGGGTGTGCTCATTTCTACATGTTTTCACATCAATGAAACTTGCAGTTTTAAATAGACAAATGCCAATTTTGGTTAACTTTTTTACTTTCATGGAATAGTGGGTGATAGATAGCCTGACAATGAGTATTTTGTTTTATATTGATAGTCATTGTTGGAACTAATGCTTAGCCATGCTGCCATACATAAGTCGTAGATTTTGTTTACTTATTTTTCATGACTACCTTATTTCTAAGGCTGCACTAAACCAATCATACTCTTGCTTCTTAGAATTCCAAGTGTAGACTAAAGCATTCCATACAACCATCACAAACTCCCACATGTAAATACAAAAATTGTCTATACACATAATCTTAAAAGCATACCTAATTTTTTACTCTTCCCTTCCCCTATAGTATTACAAGCTTTTACCACTGCTCTTGACCCACTGCCCTCCTTCCCCAAAAAAGTTTACTACCTTTTAACATTGCTTAAAGGGATGCATATTAGCCATGTTCATCTTCATAGGACATTTAAGGGATAGTTAAGCTAACTCCTTCTGAAATTTATTCAGTAAATCAAGTTTATTCATTTAATTGCTAATAAAAGTCAGTATGCATCTGAAATGTAAGCGTCTACAGCTTTGGATGCTAAAGTTATTGAATACATATACTTATATCCTTTCATATTTGAAATGCTCCAAATAGCATGCACAAGCTGCTGTGGTCTTACATTTACAAAAAAAAATATAGCTTCTAATATGTGCTATGGTTTTATATCTTCTAAGTTCAAAGTTTCATAATTGATATGAAGGAAAGATCTTGAGGAGTGGTCGATGCATATATAAGAAACATATAAGTTTATCTCCTTCAAAGAAAATCTCTAAAGCATTTCAGGTATCATTTAGCTATAGATGAGATTAACACTTCAATCTTAATGTAAAGGGTTCACTTTCAGGAAATTCATGCTAATCATTTGATGAAGTGCAATATTTCTCATATGTTTACATTATTCACTCTAAAAGTATTACTATCTTCCATGGCCCACATGGGCTATTCAAACTATTAGATTTTTAATTTCTTTCATTACTAAGC